TTTATAGAAATTCTAGCCAGGACAACTAGGCAAGAGAAGGATATAAAAGGGATAAAACTAGAAAAGGAAGAGGTCAAATTATCACTGTTTGCAGATGATGTGATCTTATACCTGAATAATAAAAACAATCAAACACTCTACCAAAGACTGCTACAGCTAATAAACAAATTTGGCAAAAGAGTATTTTACAAAATCAATTTACAAAAATCAATAGCTTTCCTATATACCAACAATGAAACTGCTAAGAAAGAAATTAGGAAAACAATCCCATTCACAATAGCCTAAAAAAATAAAATAAAATGCCTAGGAGTAAATCTAACCAAGGAGGTGAAAGACCTCTATAAACCACAGAACACTGGAGTAGGCCCAGGTCCATCCCTCCACCAGCAGGCATCGGCTGGAGCCCAGCCTCCAGAAAAGGTTCACACCAGCAGACTAAGGAGGGAGCCCAGGCCCAGCCCAGATCCGCCCATAACATCTTTCGCAGGACCCAGGTCCAGGTGTTTTATCCAATAAATCGTTGTTAAATCCCACCCCTCCCCCTGCCAAAAAAACCTACAGAACACTGAAGAAAACCTCAGAAGACTGAAGACCTCCCATGTTCATGAATGGGCAGAATTAATATTGTTAAAATTGCCATACTACCAAAAGCAATATACCGATTCAATGCAATCCCCATCAAAACACCAACAACATGCTTCATAAAATTAGAAAAAAAGGTCTAAAATTCATTAGAAAAAATAAGAGACATATAAGAGCAAAAGCAATTCTAAGCCAAAAAAGTAATACTGGAGGTATCACAACACATGACTTTAAAATATACTACAGAGCTACAGAAACAAAAACTGCACAGTACTGGCACAGAAACAAACATACAGACCAATGGTACAGAATAAAGGTAAAGAGACAAATACACAGCTATAGTAATCTGATCCCTGACAAAGGTGCCAAAAACACTATAGAGAAAAGACAGCCTTTTTTTTAACAAATGGTGCTGGGGCAACTGATCATCCATATATAGAAGAATAAAACTAGACCCTATCTCTTGCCTTGCACAAGAATCAACGACACATGGCTCAAACACCGTGGAATTAAACCAGGAACTATCCAACTCCTAGAAGAAAATGTAGGGTCAACATTCCAATTTTTAGACACAGGCACTGAATTTCTCAATAAGACCCCTAAAACTAAGGAAATAATGTCAAGAGTTAACAAATGGGATGGCATCAAATTAAAAAGCTTCTGCACAGACTAAAGAAAACAATTAGGATGTCAAGAGAAAATCTTCAGAATGGGAGAAAATCCTTGCGAGCTATTGTTCTGACACAGAGGATTAATATCTAGAATGCATAGAGTTCAAAAACTTTATATAAAAAAAAATCAAATGCCCAATTAATAAATGGGCAAATGAATTTAACAGACAATTCTCAAAAAGAAGATATACCTGAAAAAATGTTCAACAAAATTAGCAACTAGAGAAATGCAAATCAACACTATCTCAGGCCAATCAGAATGGCAATCATCAAGAATACAGAATGCAAATAACAATAAATGTTAAAGAAGATGTGGAGAATAAGAAACACTTTTACACTGTTGGTGAGACTCAATTAGTACAATCACTATGGAAATCAGTATAAAGAATCCTCAAAAAACTAGGCATGGAACCACAATATAACTCAGCTATAGCACTCCTCAGTATTTATTTTAAAGAATTAAAATCATCTTACTACATGATACATGCACACCCATGTTTGTAGCAGCACAATTTACAATAGCCAAACTATGGAACCAGCCTAGGTATCCATCAATAGGTATCCATGAATAGATAAAAGAAAATGTTGTACATATACAATAGAATTTTATTCAGCCATAAAGAAAAATGAAATCATGGCATTTGCAAGAAAATGGATGGAACTAAAAACCATCATGTCAAGTAAAATAAGTCAAACTCAGAAGATTGTGTATTTCCTTTCATATGTGGAAGCTTGAGAGGAAAAAGTAAAAGAAAGGTGGAAGTGGATCTCCTAAAAATCAAACAGAGATTAGTAAAAGAAAGGAACCATGGAATTGGCGAGAGGGAGAACAGAAGAGTAAGTGCTGGGGAGTGATGCTGGCCAAATTATATTATAATATTGTGTGCATAATCATATATGTAATGACAAATCCCATAAATATGTAGAACTATAATGCACCAATAAAAAATGTGGGGGTCAGGGGGGCCTAACAGTGAACATCATATTCAATGATCAAAGATTGTGATCTTCTCTAAGATCACAAACAAGGTAAAGATGCTCACTTTCACTACTTCTATTCAACACAGTCCTGATGTTCAAGCCAGAACAATTTAACAGTAAATAAAAGGAAAACTGGAAAGGGAGAAGTAAAATTATATGTGAGGTAGATAAAATCACTGTATATGTAGAACACACTGAGTTCATACAAACACACAAACCATCTGTTACAATAAAGAAAGTTCTGCAAAGCAGCAGAATGAAAGCTTAAAAAAATAAGCATACCATGTTCCTAGACAGAAGACCGTATTAAGATATGTTTATGACACACAAAGCAATGTTCAGAGTCTGTATAAATACTATTAAAATTCCGTTTTTTTTTTTTTGCAGAATTAGAAAAGCCCAGCGTAAAATTCCTATGGCATCAAGAGACTGCAATTAGTTAAGATGATTTTGAAAAAAAATATAAAAAAACTGGTAAATTCACACTTCCGGATTTCAAAATTTATTACAAAGGTCTAGTAATGAAAACAGAGTGTGCTGGCATATAAACCAATGGAGCAGAATAGACAACCCAGAAATAAATTCTAGCTTAATATGTTCAAATGATTTTTAACAAGTATGCCACGAACATTCACTGGGGGAAAGAACATTCTTTTTTATATAAATGGTCAGGGAAAATTAGACATCTACATACTAAAAAATGAAGGTGAACCCTTATTTCATACCACAGACAAATATTAAATTCTAATGAGTCATCCATCTAAACCTAAAAGGTAAACTTATAAAATTTAGAAGAAAACAGTGCAAAACTGGATTTGGTGATCATTTCTTGGATATGACACAAAAGACCCAGGCAACAAAAGAACAAAGTAGACGAACAGGACTTCATGAAAACTAAAAAATTTTGTGCACCAAAAGACACTATTAGGTTGTGGCTCAGAGGTACAGTGCTTGCCTAGCACATGTGAGGCAAGGAGTTTGATCCTCAGCACCACATATAAATAAATAAATAAATAAAGCAAGCAAGCAAGCAAAATTTTTTTTAAAAAAGACATTATTAGGTGTAAGGGTGCATGCCCGTACCTATCTACTCAAGAAGTTGAAGACAGAAACCTGGAGTCAGCCCAGACAATACAGCAATACCCTCATAAAATATATACTGTAAAGATAATAGTATACAACCAGAGATATGAAAAACAGTGCTCAATATGTGTAATAAGAATTGTAAAAACAAATGCCGAATTGTTTTCTCTGATATAAGGAGACTGACTCATAGCACGGTAGGGAGGGGGAGAATGGGAGGATTAGATGAATTCTAGATAGGGAAGAGGGGTGGGAGGGAAATGGAGGGGGCAGGGGATTAGCAAGGATGGTGGAATGTGATGGACATCATTATCCAAAGTACACTTATGAAGACTCAACTGGGTGTCAACATATTTTATATACAAACAGAAATATGAAAATTTGTGGTATATATGTGTAATAAGAATTGTAATGCATAAAAAAACCCCACAAAATACATGTATAAAGACATGAATTGGCGTGAACATACTTTATATACCAGATATGAAAAACTGTGCTCTATATGTGTAATAAGAATTGTAGGGGCTGGGGTATAGCTCAATTGGTAGAGTGCTTGCTTTGCATGCACAAGGCCCTGAGTTCAATCCCCAGCACACACACACACACACACACACACACACACACAAATGTAATGCATTCCGCTGTCGTGTATTAAAAAATAAATACATAAATAAAAATCCAAACTGGGAAGGAAAAAAAAAGAATTGTAATGCATTCCACTGTCATAATCTATTAAATAAATAGATAAATGAATAAAAATAAAAGTTTATCTACACACACACACACACACACACACACACAAGATAATAAGGAAACAATTCAATTTAGCCAAAGGGATGGGAGGAGACGCTATCAACATAATACAAGGGCAACCCAAAAAAAAAACAGAAGAAAATAGCTCTAAATCATGACAGAGGATTAACATCTAGAACACAGAAAGAACTTTTAAACAAAATCCAAACCTAGGTTCAAAAATGGGAATAGAATTTGGACAAACATTTCCCCAAAGGTGTACATATAGTCAGTAAGCACATGAAAAGATACTCAGCATCACTAAACATCAGGGAAATGCAAAGAAAAACCACACTGACATATCACCTCACACCTACCAGGGTGGCTACTTGGGGGAAAAAAAAAAAAAAAAACAACTGGGGGAGTGGGAGGAAGGAAAGGGGAGAAATGGGAAAGACTGTAGAATGAATCAGATATAACTTTCCTATATTCAAATATGAATACGCGACCAGAGTAACACCATATCATATATAATCAAAAAAGTGGGAAGTTATTCTCCATGTATGTATGATATGTCAAAATATATTCTACTGTCATGTATAACCAAAAAGAACAAATAAAAAAATAAAGAAAAGAGAAACTAACAAGTGTTATTAAGAATATGGAGAACATGGAAACCTGTGCACTATTGGTGGAAATATAAGATGATACAGCCACTATGAAAAACAGGAGAGCACTCCCTTAAAAAAAAACAAACAAACAAAAAAAAACTACATAAAAGATGGTTTTCCTATACTGATGATTCCTTAGCAGCAAATTAAGCATTTATGTTTCATTTGTTTCATTTCATATGTTTCATTTCAGATTATTAGATACCTAAAACAATTTACTAAACAAACCCTAAATAATAATAGCATCAAGACCAAAATGCTCTTTTCTAGAACACCTTACCTTCCACAAGCAATCTGAGTGACGATGCTTCCCATAAGTTCAAAAACTTTCCTTGGGTTTATTTCATGACTGGTAGAGTTATGACCCAACTGACCATATCCTCCAGCTCCAAAAGTAAACACTCCACCTTCCTAAAAAAAGACAAAACCATTTATTAGAAGGCCTAAGTCAATAAAATAACTGATTTTCAGAAAAATAAGCTGATCTTAAATATGGACTCAATTTTGTCTCTTATAATTGTCTTCAAAATTTAACAGTTAACAGATGATTCATTGAAGAAAAAAATGTCTTCAAAATAAGAGAATTCCAGGCCAAAAGGTATATAATTTTCACATATTTTACATTGAAAGACTTAATGTTTTGGGGATTTTTTGTTGTTGCTCATATTTTTGCTAAATGATTACTTATTTGCATTGCCTTTAACCTCATTATATTCTTGAATTTGAAGTACACATTTATAAAATTTCACAAATACCTAAAGATAGTACCTTAATAAAATTTTACAAGCTAATTATGCTTTGAAAATAAATCTCTGCATAAAGTACATGCAACCAGAGTGCACAAATTGTGATTTTAAGCAGATAGTGCAATGTAAATGTTCTTTATAAACAAATTTTTTTCTTTTTAAAATTTATAGAAAGCAACAAATGTACAAAAGTAGAAAGAAAATACAATTATTATACAGCCACCACTCAGTTACACTAACTGGCAAGTAACTGGCAAAAGAATGGACATCTTATTATATTTATGCCTCCTCTTTACCTTTTTGAGAAGTACTTTATGTGAAAATTTAAAAAAGCACTGGAATGCTTTGAAGTAAATTGTGGTCATCAAGTCAATTCCCACATCAAGGTGTATATATATTTGATGGCTCAAGTCTCTAACAAAAAATACAGAATCTTAATACTATTACCACACTCACAAAATTAATACTAACTTCTTAAGTCATCTAAAACCCAGGCCATGCTTTGTTTTGAATTTTTGCTTTTTGCATTAATGGGGCTCAGTCCTGGAGCCTCATGGATACTAGGCAACTACTCCACAACTGAGTTGTATCTCAGTCCTTTTTAATATCTATTTTCAGACAAGTTCTCACAAAGTTGCCCAGGATTGCTTCAAACTTATTATCCTTCTGCCTAAGTCTCCTACCTAGCTGGGATTACAGGTGTGCTATTGTGGAATTGTTTTAATAGCAAAACTATGACCTTTGATGTAAAATTTCATTATCTCTGGGGTAGATTCTTAAAAGTGGGATTGCTAAGTCAAAAGGTATATTTATATGTGATTTACATAATTAATTTGCAAATGAACTTTAAAAAATCTGAATGTTTTGGTGGTATCTCCATACTCACTAATACTACATGTCTTTCCATTTATTGTATTTTTAAAATCAGCTTTTAAACCTTTCTTAATGCAGTTAGCCTAACGTAGGTATTTACATAAGGAAGCTGCTTCATAAAGCAATGCTAATCTATGCACAAGAAATTCTTCCACAAAAGGAGAAGATATATAGATATGAGGCATATACTCTAACTTAAAGGAAAATAAATATTTACTTTTGGAATTTTAAAATCTAGTTTTCTTTAAAATAATGTATGCCAAAAATTCTAGTGAACAAATATCACCAATTATTGTCTTCTGAAAGATAAATGCAGAAGATTGGTAGAAAACATTTTTTAAAACTTTCAATGGATACAGTTACTATCCTGGGATAGTAAATGGTTATTCGATAGATTCTTTCTGAAAAGCATTATTAGTCTATTACAAATTACCACACAAAATTAGATACCATATGAAACATATTTTGACACAAAATAGTTTTGTTATTTCTATATAGAATGACTAAAATTTATAAAACAAAGTGATTAAAAATAAGACTTTAGTAATTACAATTGTAATTTTAATGATAAAAAACAACAAAACATAACAGGATTGGTAAGTACTTACAGTAAAGACTTCCTTACTAACAGCAAGTAAGATTAAATATTTAAACATTAACTTCTATAATTGGTCATTTTTTAAAATTCGATAAATTTGACAATGACTAAAAACAATCTTTGTCATGCCAAAATTCTCAATATGAGAGAATAAAAGTACAGAATTTTAAAAGTCTATTAAAAGATAATTTCCTTCTTAATTTTATCTACTTGCAGGACAAAGATAAAGAAATAAAAACACCATTTTCTAATTTAGTCAATGAAAACCTTGCCAAATTCTTTATGTTCACATGAATGACTATAATAAATACTTTTTCGGTTAAGGTTAATAGAATGGAGTTTTTTGCTATTGCTTTGGGTTTTGATGCTGGGGATTGGTGCTCTCTCATGCTGGAGAAGAACTCTAACACTGAGCTACATCTGCAGCCTGAATATTTTCATTTTCATTTAACTCCTAGACACTAGAAAACTAAGCAGTACTGATAGTGAGTTGGCACACACCCAAGAAATTGAGAGATGAAAAAGTTAAAGCCATCGACAAACTAGGTTGAAAGTTCACTATAATTGTCCAATACTCAGGCTATAAATAACAGAAATTAAGTTTCCTCTACTACATGTTCTAAAATGTTTATAAGTAAATAAATTATCTATAATTTATTTATAATTTATCTAACTTCAAATTAGATAAAGCTATGTAATATAAATGGGACTGATACACATAGCATGGCAAGTCTGATGAACTAAAATGGGATAATTTTTTCAAAAATATTATTCAACCAGTTATTTCATGTAACTGTTGAGAAACACAATATACATAACATGTAAGAAGTATATCATAATTCATATTTTATAATGTTAAGGCTGAAAATTAATGCAAATTGTTTTTAAGAATAAATAATAATCTAGGTCTTTTTACTAGTTATTTTTGAAACATCAATTTCAACCTAAAGTTTTAATATAAAAATCATGAAACATTCACTAATTATGGAAGAACTATTATGAGTAATAATAAAGTTTTAGGAGTATAATACCTTGGTTAGCGCAGCTGTATGATCTTCTCCGCAACAAATATAAACTATTTTCTGAGATCTTAGTGACTTCAGTAAATTAGGAACATACCTATCTGAAAATTCCAACAAGAGATGTTAACAATATTCTTTAAATTGAAATTCTTTTAAATGTGTTTTCTATACAGCTTCCCAAGCTCAACACAGTGATGACTGAATAATTTTAACTATGAGTCAATGATTTTACAGTACGAGCCTACAAACTTAGGTTCCCAGGCCTATCTATCCATTATACTGTGATAAAGTAAGGATTTAAATACTTAAGTGTTAAGCAACCTATATGCCAATAAGCACAGGACTGAGCAATCAAGGAAGTTAAAAAATTTATTTAACTGCTTCTAATTTTCTATATACACATCATTCTTTATATATTTACCTTGTGATTATGCTCACAGGATTCTACTTAGTAGATTGAAAACTCTATTTTCTGCTATTTTTGTAGCAGTAATGATATATACTATTGTATCATGGCACATTTTTCTTATATAGATTTATTAGTTAATTCTTTGAGAATATTATTTATCATTACCAGTTGTTACTTGATTAACAACTCACTTTTGTACATTTCAGTCATCACAATTATGCTGAACTTTATAAAATTACCATTTCTGTTATGTACCATATTGGCTAATCAACTGCAGTTATGAAAAATCACATCCAAGATCCTGATTGTTTCAGATAGTTAAAATTTCTTATGATTCAAAGTATTTTATTGTCAAGACTCTAGCATCGCTGTCAGAAGAGAAAGCAACCAAAAAATTAATTTAATGACCCAGATCATGTAAGTATTTCTCTGAAATACAGATTTAAAACTTCAGGTTACAGAAGTTTTTGTTTTGTTTTCCTTTCTCGAGGGGCAGTATTCTGGCAAGCACCCAGCCCCTTGCCAAAATAATTTTACGGCTTCTTTCAATTGATGGTGGCCAATAATGAAACATGCTGATTACCAATTTGAAGGAATGCTCTTCAACTGTCTTTTAAGGAACATCCAAAAATGTTGTTCAGATATAATTTACAATTAAACCTTTTTTCTTGCCTCCCACCATTCCTTCAAAATGCTATCAAAAGATATTTTTAAATTAACATATCAGTCTGATCCTCTGAAAATATGAACACATTTTTCTGACACAATAAAAATCATTCAACTCGAAAGAGCATGCCTTTTAAAAAGTACATTTGAACTATAATGAGAACCTACCATTTTCATCATTAAGACCTAGCTGACCAAATTTGTTGCGTCCCCATCCAAAGATAGCTCCAGAAAGGGTAAGTACAAAACTATGGGCTCCTCCAGCTGCAACTTGCATGAACGGAATTCCAAGCAAAGACTTAATCAATTGTGGTGAAGCTTGCTTTTTACATTCAATGCCTAAACCCAACTGGCCATATTTATTCTGTCCCCAACAAAAAACTTCGCTTGCTGTAAAACAAAAATAAAACAAATAACAAAATCACAAAATTATTATTAACATACAAAAAAAATTGATTTGAAGATCATCTGCTATTTTGGGACATTGCTCCTCTCAGTAGATGGAAACATTCATGATCTTTTTAGCATTTAGGTTTATTTCATATAAACATAAAAAACACTTATACTACCTAGAGTATTATCTATAAGAACATTCTACATTTTTTTTTTGAGATAGAGAGAGAGAATTTTTAATATTTATTTTTTTAGTTTTCGGCAGACACAACATCTTTGTTTGTATGTGGTGCTGAGGATCGAACCCGGGCCGCACGCATGCCAGGCGAGCACGCTACCGCTTGAGCCACATCCCCAGCCCTCTACATTTTATTTTGATTAATTACACTGATGGAGAATTATCTAAGTAAGGATAATCTTGTCCTTATGATCCTTCACAATAGCTAGCTCTTTTTAATATTCTTCTATTTTAATATTCCTCAATATCTCCCAAGAGGTACTCATCTAAAGCTCAAAATTTCAGTTATCAATTGTATGCTGATCACATTCAAAATCTATCATTAGCCCAAATCTCTCCTGAGCAAAATCCATATAACCCAGTGTTGACCTGACGTTCATACTTGGATATGTCAAATGCACTTCTAACTAAGCATGTTCCAAACTGAATTCATGATCTCCACTCTATCTTCCACACCTGTACCTCTTTTTAGTGTTGCCCATTTCAGTAAATAACATAGTAACTTATTCAGTAACACACTAGGGAACCATCATTAATAACCCCTCATCTCTTATATCATACATATCCATATCACTAGATTATATATAATTTCCTTTCTAAAGAAAAATATGACAGATCTGTTCTTCACCATTGTACCTGGTTATGTAAGTTTCCCCAGTTTGTTTTACTCCCCCAGTGCCAGACTATTTCATAACTTCAGACATCTTTTTATCTTTATTAAACCAACAACTGGCATTAAACTAGTTAAGTGCTTCAGTGCACAAATATTTATTTGTTTGTTTATACGTGGTCCTGAGGATCAAACCCAGTGCCTCAAGTGCTAGGCAAATGCTCTACCACTGAGCCACAACCCAAGCACAATACACAAGCATTTTTTAAAAATTCCTACCACAAAATCGTACACACTTAAAAAGCAAGCATCTATGAGGTACAGCAGCATGTGCCTATAATTCCAACAACTGGGGAGGCTGAGGCAGGAGGATCATAGCTTTCAGACCAGCCTTAGCAACTTACGTGAGGCCCTAAGCAACTTAGATCTTGTCTCAAAATAAAAAATGGAAAAGGACTGGAAATGTAGCTCAGAGGTAAAGAGACCCTGGGGTTCAAGTCCCAGTATCAAATTTTTTAAAAAGCAAGCTTCCCTCCATAACTTAAGTCCCTAAATTCTTCTTCTAAGAACTATTTCTACCCTTTACTAGTAAGTCCTCTCAGCCTCTCAGAAATGTTCTATATGCATACAAGAAGATATTTACATATTTGCATAGCAATATTATAAAAAGGCAGATTTGGTAATTTTGTTTGCCTGAAAAAAAAATTTGGTGTTTTCTAATTGCTCTTGGGACAACACTTTGAAGAATGTAAGGCTTTGTATGATCTACATGTTTCCAATCTCATTTCATACCTTCCTCCACTCACTGTACTCTAATCCTAGTTGTCTTCCTTTGAATTTTTCAATAGCTGCTCCTCACACATTTGTTGTTCCCTCTGTTTAAACCTTCCCCTCATCTTTATCTGGTACCCTTCTACTTTCTATCAGGAGAAGTCTTCATTCCCTGATTACCCAGATTAAGGACAGTCCTCCCTATTAATGTTCTAGATACTTCAAACTTTTTTTTTTTTTTTTTACAACCCTATGGTAGTATGTATCATTATTGTATGGCTGTTATCATGAGGGCCTATGTATTGCCTATCACTATATACTACAGTGTACCTAGTTCACACTAAATGTTCAACAAATTGTTAGATGAATGTGATACTAGCTAAAGCATAAGCTGTGTAGACACACACACACACACCAAAAAAAAAAAAAAAAAAAAAAAAGGTCAAGATGGAAAACTGCCCTCATTTGTATATTCTTGGGGTCTAAATATATGCTGGATCTACCTACCAAAATATCAAAAAAGAAGGCAGCAGAGCAACAGCAAAGAATACAGAGATGCCTCATTCCTTGATGCCTACAGAAATCCAAATTCCTTAATACAACATTAAAGGTCCTTTTTTGTAACACATTTTTGTTTGTATTTCAGCCTCAACTGAAATATATCTCCCATAACCTTCACAATTCATAAAACCATAGGCCAATACTCAATTACAACACCTTCTTGGCTCCATGTCTTTACTAGTACTAACCCCTTTGTCAACACCCCAACCACTTAATAATTCTATATTTCTTAAATTCTATTTATCTTTGAAGACTCATACCAAATAGCAATCTTCTCCTTATGCTACCATTCTATTAATCAGAACCAATGACTTTTTATTTACCTCAAAGGATTTTACTTCTATCTTGACCAAAATATTAACTACTTTTTTCCTTCCTCAAACTATTTGGATATCTGCCTCTCCCACTAGACTTTAGAGCCCCTAAAACTGTCTTGGTTTGTTTGTTTCCTCACAATTCTATCCCAGTATTTTATTCATAGTAGCTCACCCTAGACATTCACTGAATTTAATAATATAATGATGATGATTAAAAAAAAGACCCAGGAACTTATTTTCATAAATGGTCTTAAAAAAGAAAAGAAAAAGAATGGCAGGTCCTTTACTAACCTATGTCCTAGTTCTCAGCTGGAATATAAAGATTAAATTAAATCAGTAATAAGAGCTGGGGCTATGGCTCAGTGGTAGTACACCTGCCTGGCATTTGTGATTCTCAGCACCACATATAAATGAATAAAGCCTATCAACAACTAAAAAAATATTTTTTAAAAAAAATCAGTAAAACAGGAACACAAAGCTAACAGTATGTTTAAATACTTTCTCTACTTTTAGTCACAAAAAGTTTATCTGTGAGCTTAAAATGAGATTGGAGGCCATTCTTCCCCAGCTATGAAAAAATAGTTTTTAATTATGAAGTGAAAAGTTAAAAACAAAAATAAATTTCCTCACTATAATAAACAACTAAAAATGACACCATTCACAAACAGAAAAAAAAAAAAAAAAAAGCAAACCTAAGAGGGAAAAAAAAAATCTAATAAAAGGGCTGGGGTGCTGGCTTAGTGGTAGAGCGCTTGCCTAGCACATATGAGGCACTGGGTTCAATCCTCAGCACCACATAAAAATAAATTATACAAAGGTTAAAAAAAAACTAATTAAACAACGTATAAGATCTCTCCACATAAAACAAAATACTAAGAAAAATATTAAAAGACTTAAAAAACAGAGAGATCTAGATGTTCATTCAAGATCCCAAGACTCAATACTGTAAACATTTTTCTCAAATTCATTTACAGACAACAAAATATCAAAATTCCATCAAGTTCTTTGTCTAAAAAAACTGACAAGCTAATACTAAAATTTATATTGGATGAAAAGGATCAAGAAGAACCAGGACAATCTTGGGAAAGATTAAAAAGTCAGAGCCCTTTCTGCTCAAAGCATCAGTAATAAATTGGAAGAAAATAAAAACAATGCTTACCTTTAGAAAGTGCAAGTGAATGATAGTAACCGCAAGCAACCTGTACTATCTGGATATCTGACAAACTTTTAATATTTCTAGAAAAGAAGAAAGAGCAGGATCAATTCATTCCATTTAACAAATGGATCTTGAATGTCACTTACTCATGCTATTTACTGAATACGTACTATGTGCAGAGTTTCATACTGACCTCAATTAAGGCCAATTTACCAAAAAATTTATATTAAAAAAAATCAGTAACCAAGATCTAAATATAAAAAAGTAAAAGCTATGAAAGAAAAAACCCTCAAAGAAAATACTTAAGCAAAGTGAACAATGTTCACATGTCAAATACTCTTCATAGTGCTCTGACAATTCAGAATTTCCTTTTATTATAAATTTTAAAAAATCTATACTGTGTGAAACGAGGCAATATATTTGTAAAATAAATGTATATGATTTAAATTGGTGTTTGGTCTAGTTTAATACATGTTCTTCTCTATTAGATTCCTTAGAACCAATAAGGATTCCTATCATATTTTCTACCAATTCACAAATTATGAAATCTATTCCTTTTAGGTCATCCTTTTGTTTACATATCAATCAATCAGTGACATCGAACTTTCTTACTAGGGAAATTTAATCAACTCACATTTATGATTATCACTGATATGTTAAATCTTATTTTCTGTCATCTGTGTTTGTTCTAATACTTCTATAATCCCACCTCCCTTTCTAATGTTTGCTTAATTGCAATGCAATTCTAAAGGCTAACTGGGGGAGAAAAAAAAAAAAAAACACTACAAATATCTATTAACCTTGTGCTTCAAACCATCCTAAATCATGTTATATACTTCCCCTTTTCCTGGTCTTTCTACTGTTTTTCCTGAGTGAATGCTTTCAAGGAAAAAAAGGGGGGGCGGGAAAAAAAAAAAAACCATGTTTCTTATTTCCCTTTACCTGATACTGCCATCTGACCTGATTCTGCCAAATGAGAGTCCAGAGCAAATTCTGAATAGAGTGTCGATACCCATGATTTTCGGGAAGCAGCTTCAGCAAATCAAATTGTGAGCAGGAAAAAGGAGAGTTACTCTAATTCCATATTGTTTTATTAGATATATTTTTATTTAGTGGATTTATGTTCTTAACTACAAAGCTTGAGAGTCTGTAGTGCTAAAATTTAGCAGAATCCAACAAATTAGCAGGATCCAATGTAGGATCAAATTTTCAAATGTAACAAAATGCTGTTTTTTTTCCAATAGCAAAATTAAACACTGGTAATGCAGAAAGAATTAGGAATGAAAAAACATGGAAATTACAACTATGCCGTTTATTCTTAGTAAATAGTAAACTTACTATTATTATGTGCACTAAACACATCTTTCATTCATCTGTTCACTATATTTAATATTTGGGGGAAAAAACTATTTCAGTTATCTACTTGAACTTGCAAAACCAAACATTTCAAAATACTACATTCTCATAAAATACTATGCTTTTCTTCTTCACAGCATGTTATTACTAATTACCAGTGTACATACTATTCATTTAATGTTAATCTCCTCTGCTAAATAATAAGTTCCATAAAGGCCGACTATGTAACTTATATGCATTAGAATCCCTAATACCTACCATAGTGCTTGGCAAATACTATGTAAGGAATGCACTGTTAAAGGATAAATGAATCTGTAAAGTCTTAGAAGCTTTAGTATTAAATTAGTCATAAAGTTTAACAAAAATCTTCTAAATTTGCAAAGTAATTTAAACTCAGTGACTCTCCTTTCCAAAATACTGCCCTATAACACAAATGCTAATTTCTTGAGTACATATTACACAAAGAAATACATTCTACTGTGGCATTACTATGTTGAAGAAAAAAGTATCTCCTTTCATCTTCCGGTAGATTATTAAACACTAATAACAGAGATAGGGATCTGCTTTGTTTCCTCAGCTTTCAGAAATTAAAAAAAAATATTCTGAGTGGTAACAATTTACTACATTGTTTTCCCAAGTTCCATTTTTTCACAGATAACAAGTTAGAAAATACTTAATCACAACAGAATGTTATAGAATTCATCACAAGTAAACTTTTCATATTTTTAATATGAAGATGAAAACCAAAACCATAATGACCATATGCATGTCAATAAATAAAGACGTAAAATGAGATATGAAAAATTCAAAATGTGCAGAGGAATGGAGTCAAGTGTAGTATTTTTTAGTAGTGGTTTTTTGTTTTGTTGTTGTTGTTTTTATCTTTACAATCTTGTTAAGGTGCTATTATTTCAGCATAGTTGCTATATCAAAAGATGTTTTTTTGTAAGCCTTATGGTATCCACAAAAATCTGCAGACACCAACACAATTAATAAGGAATCAAAACATACTACCAGAGAAAATGACAAAATCACAAAGGAAAACTGTAAGAGTAAGAAAGCAAAAACAAACAAACAAACAAAAAAAGAAGAACTACAGTAACACCAGAAAACAAATTACAATATGGTTGTACTAAGACCTTGCCACCTATCAATAACTACCTTCAATGTCAATGATAAAAAATTCTCCAATTAAAAGATACAAAGTGATTGAATGGATTTTTTTTAAAAAAGGAAAAAATAAAACCCAATTAAATGTTTGTTAAAAAAAAAAAAAAAAAAAAAAAAACCTTTACCTCAGAGGACACACATACAATGAAAGTAAGGGGATATAGTAAGATATTACACAAATTAAATCCAGAAGGAGCAGCAGCCATAATCCTATCAGATAAAAACAGACTTTAAATCAAAAGCAATAGAGGCAAAGAAAGTCATTGTACAATGATAAAGGTGTCAACTCATCAAGAGGAAATAATGATTCTAAATATATATGTGCACAATATAGGGGCACTAAATGTAAATCAAGTATTAAAAGGGAAAGACAGACTCCAATAAAATAATAGTAAGGGACTTTATTATCCCACACAATGGATATCTCATTCAGACAAAAAGTCAACAGAGAAAGAGCAGAATTAAATTGCACCACAGACCAAATGGACCAGACCTAAAAGACTTCTACAGGACATTCCAACAACACATGCAGAATACATTCTTCTTATCACTAGGTGGAACAGCTTCCAGAGCAGATTATATAATAGGCTGTAAAACAGGTCTCAATTTTTTTTTTCAAAACCGAAATCAAGCTAAGCACGGTGGCACACACCTGTAATCCAATCCCAGCAGCTCAAGAGGGAGACAGGAAGACTGCAAGGTCAAAGCTACCTCAGAAACTTAGCAAGGGCCTAAACAACTTAGTGAGACCCTGTCTCTAAATAAAATGCAAAAGAGGGCTGGGGATGTGACTCAGTGGTTAAGTGCCCTTGGGTTCAATCCCTGGTACCAAAAACAAAAACAAACAAAAACCTAGAAATCAGTAACAAGAAAAACTTTAAAAACTCAAACAAGTAAAAATAAATCCCAACATTATGTACAATTATAATGCACTGAAAAACATGTATGAAGTAAAATAATTTGGAAACTATCTAAACACACAGAAATTAAGGAACTTTTGAGGGTGGGATGCAACATGGGGGACTGAATCCGGGGCCTTGCACATACTAGGCAAGCACTCTATCACTGAACAATATTCCCAGTGCACAAGTTTATTCTTGAACAACAAGAAAGAAATCAAAAATCTCTTCAAACAAATGAAAATCAAAACACAACATGTCAAAATCTATGTAAGACAATAAAAACAGTACTAACAGGGGAGTTTTTAAGCAATCAACATCTATATTTAAAAAGCAGAAGAACTCAAATAACCCATCATTGCATCTTACAGATTAAGAACAAGAGGGGTAAAAAAAAAAAAAAAAAAAAAGCTGGGCCAGGGTTGTAGCTCTGTGGTGAAGTGCTTGCCTAGCATGTGTGAGGCAATGGGTTCAATCCTCAACACCATATAAAAATAAATAAATAAGATAAGGGTACTGTGTCCACCTAAAACTTAAAAAAAAAAAAAAAAAAGGCTGATCAGAGATAATGAAAAAAAAATGAAGAATTGGTTTTTTGAAAAAAAACAAAGCTAACAAACCCTTAGTCAAAATAACAAAGAGAAAACAAATTAAAAAAAAAAAGGGAGACATTACAACTGAGTGGCTCAAAAGAGATTATTATGAATGACTCTTCACCAACAATATTCGATAACCTAGCAGAAATGGACAAATTCCTGGATACATACAGCTTACCAAGATTAAACCATGAAGACAGAAAACCTGAACAGATCAATAACAAGTACTGAGATTGAATCAGTAGGGCTGGAACTCAGTGGTAGAGTGCTTGCCAAGCAGGGGCAGGGCCCTGGGTTCAATCCTTAGCATGCCCAAAAGAAAAGTCTCCCAGAAAAGAAAAGCCAGGAACAGATGGTTTCACTGATGAGTAAACTACTGCCAATTCTTGTTTTTTTGTTTTTGTTTTTTTATGGCAGTGCTGGGGACTGAACTCAGGGACTAATGCATGCTAGACAGCTCTCTATCACTAAACTATATCCCAACAATTCTTAAATTATTCCGAAAAATTGAAGAGAAGGGAATTAATCCAAATACACATTACCCTGACACTAAAATCAGACAAGGACACAACAACAACAAAAATACTACAGGACAATAACTTTGAGGAGCATAGATGCAAAAATCCTCAACAAAATATTTAACAAACTGAAGATAATGGCACATCAAAAAGATTCATCCCAGGGATGCAAGACAGGGTCAACATATACAATTTGATAAATGTGATATACCACATTAACAGAAAGAAGGACAAAAGCTATATGATCATCTCAATAGATGCAGAGAACTCATTTGATAAAATCCAACATCCCTTCATGATAAAATTGTTAAATCTAAGAGATATGGAAAAAACATACTTCAGTATAATAAAGATCATGTATACAAAGCTGGGCTCAGGATATAACTAAGTGGTACAGTATTTGCCTTGTATATGCACAAGACCCTGTGTTTGATCCACAGCACGGCACCAAAAAACAAAAACAAAAACAAACTATCATTATACTGAATATAGAAAACCTGAAAGCTTACTAAGAACTCAAAACAAAACAAGGATGCCCTCTTTTACCACTTTTATTCAACATAGTACTAGAAATTCTAGCCAGAGCAATCAGGCAAGAGAAAGAAATAGAGGCATCCAAATTGGAAAGAAGGAAGTCAATCTGTAACTGTACACGACATGATCTTATGATATAAAGACCTCCAAGGAGTCCAACAAGAAACTATTATAATTAAAGAATTCAGCAAAGTTGCAGGATACAAAATCAACATATAAAATCAGTAGTGCTAGCTGCATGGTGGCACACACCTGTAATCCCAGAGACTGGGGAAACTAAGGCAGAGAATTACAAGTTTGAGGCCAGGCTCAGCAACTTAGCAAGACCCTGTCTCAAAATGAAAAATAAAAAGTAGAAATTATAAGAGAGCTGAGAATGTCTCTCAGTGGGAGAGAACCCCTGGGTTCCATCCCTAGTACCAGAAAAAAAAATTTAAAAATAAAAACAGTAGCACTGCTATACATGCCAACAACAAACTACCTGAAATGGGTATCAAGAAAGCAATTCCATTCCCCGCCCCCCCACACAAAGTTAAGGACATTTGAATTCATGATTGAGGAAAAAACAAAATATTGTTAAAATCTCCGTGCCTTTCAAAGTGATCTATGCATTCAGTGCAATCCCTATCAAAATATCAATGACATTCTTCAAAGAACTTAAAAAAAAAAAAAGCTAAAATGTGTATGGAAGAACAAAAACAAACAAACAAAACAACAAATAGCCAAAGCAATCTTCAGCAAAAGCAACAAAAAAGGAGCTATTACACTATCTATTGTCAAAGTATATTACAAACAAAGCCATAATAATCCCAATAGCATGTTTCTGACATAAAACAGACACAGAGGCCAATGAAGCAGGATAGAAAGCTACAGTCAACATTCAACAAAGGTGCTAAAAATATACATTAAACAAAAAGACTTTTCATTAAATAGGTGCTAAAAAAATTGGACATCCACATGCAAAAGAATGAGACTGACTAGCCCTCTATCTCACCAGTTAGGTGAGGGGGATCAACTCAAAATGAGTTAAAGATTTAACCATAATCCATACATGTATGATTATATTAAATGAAATCCTCTCTCACAGATAACTATACTGCACAAATAAAAACATTTAAAAATACTTAAATATAAAACCCAATATAATATAGTATTATATAAGAAAACATAGGGGAAATGCTTTAGGACACTGGAATGGGAGAAAATATCTGACAAAGGGTTACTACCCAGAACATATAAAACTCAAAGGCAAATAACCTGATTTAAAAACAGGCAATAGATATAAATAGACATTTCTCAAAAGAAGACTTAAAAATGACCAACACTTATGTAAAAAAATGCTCAACTCACTAATCATCAGGGAAAAGGAAATCAAAACCACAATGAGCCATTACCTCACTCTATTAAGAATGAGTATTGGGGCTGGGGTTGTGGCTCAGTGGTAGCACGCTTGCCTAGCATGTATGACACGTTGGGTTCAATTCTCAGCACCACATACAAATAAATAAAATAAAGGTCCATCAACAACTAAAAAATATTTTTGAAAATGACTATTATTGAAATGACAAGTGCTGACAAGGATGTGGAATAAGGTGAACACTTGCACACTGTTGGTATAAATGCAAATTAGTATAGCCATTATGAAAAGCAATAAGGATTTAAAAATTTAAAAAATGAACTATCACATAATCCAACAATCCTACTTCTGGGTATATATCCAAAGGAAATGAAATCATTATGTCTAAGGGTTATCTGTATTACACAACACTACTTGCTTAATTTTGCTTAATTTTCATGTTCTTATCTGCAAGCATGAAAATGGTTTTGGGGGCTGGAAATGTAGCCCAGTGGTAAAGCACTTGACCATCACACATGAGGCCTTGAGAACGATCACCAGCACCAAGCCAAAAAACAAACCAAAATTGTGTCAAGAAAGTAATATCCTGCCAGGTATGGTGGCACACACCTGTAATCCCAGCTTCTCATGAGGCTGAGGCAGCAGGGTAGCAAGTTCAAGTTCAGCTTGAGCAACTCAGTGAGTCACTCTCAAAATAAAAAAAAAAAAAGGGGGTAGAGATGTAGCTCAGTGGTACAGGGCTTCCCTAGCATTCATGAGTCCCTGGATTTAATCCCCTGTAGTGGAGGAGGAGGAGAAATAGCCTAATGTGAATCTTCAGTTTTCTGATTGTTCATATGAAAATTTATCAACACTAATTTTTAGAAATCCCCGTATAGATAATGTGTATGAAACTTACAAATCTGGTTTAACATCTGGTACTTAGAAAAAGTCTTATATCTAAAAAATGATTTGGTACTAAAATTAAAAAGAAAATCTCTGATAATCTTTTATAAAACATAGAATCAATGAAAACTATGTATATATGTTCATACAAATCAGATCCAATACATAAAAATTTGAAAACCTGAGAAAGATAAACAGTATAATACCTAAGTTAATACAGATGTTTAACATACAAAATCAGATATTTAAACAACAACAAAAAACTCAGTTCTTTTTCAGGTGGCTCAGTAGTAGAGTCCTTGACTAACATGCATGAGGTCTTGAGTTTGATCTCCAGCACTGCAAAATCAATAGGCAACCTTCAAATAAAATTCCCACACAATAAAACTATCTCCTTTTAATTATTTCACCTACATAGTACTGAAATGCCAGAAGTGAACCACAACAAAATGAGGATTATGCAACTGGTATAGTAAAAATAAGGGAAACTAGAAAGCTCTGCCATGAATCAATTAAGATGATATATTAACATATAGGTCCTTTTTCATCTGAAAAATACAAATATTTTTTAAAACTTATCTTAAAAATCCTGTTCTATAAAAATTACTTGGAAGAAGCAATGAAAGTAGTAAAGGGTAGGTTAAATTTAAGGTCACTGTTTCTACGGTTGCTCTATATTATCTAGTCAATAACCATCCAGTTAAAAATTACCATTTTCTGAAAGAAGTCAAAACTAAACTGTCTGAAGAAATTTAATTTACTCAGCTTAAGGAAAAACATTTTTCTTCCAACAGCACCATCATTAAGGGACATCATAAGCAAACTGGGAATTACGTTATTTAGTTGTTATATTGCAGAAGAAACAACAGGAACCAAATTTGAGGAGTTTTGCAGGATTTGGTTATATGTTGACTAAGGAAAACATACGAATATGATGTATCCAAATGTCTCAATGGATAGTTCAATAATAGAACAAACATTAAATTTCAAACTGCAAATTCCTGTTCTGAAATATATCTTCTCCTGTGTTCTACTTTACCCTAGTAGTTGCAACCTTTTTTTTTTTTTTTTTTTTTTTTTTTTTGATGCACTGGGGATTGAACCCAGGACCTCAGACCTACTAGGCTAGTGCTTTACCACTGAGCTACATCCCCAGTCCTATCACAAAATTTTCCTTAAATCAAAACAAACCTTATCAATGTCAAAAATAGAACACATAAATGTGTGCAAAAAAAAAAAAAATTTTTTTTTTTTTACCTAGAATAAATCTAAAAATAGTTATAAGAATATCTTGGGGTTCCCTGGAGAGTTCTTTTGTCCCTAAAACTATTACCACCAGGAAGAAAGAACAAAAGGGTTTAAAGAGACCAGAATTTGTATAATATAAAAATCTAAGTACAAGTTAGTATACTTAGGTATCTTAAGAAATAAATACTTCTTTTAAAATCTTTATATTTTTATCTAGATTTTTTTATGCTCAGTTTTTAATATTAAAAAAATGATTATGTCCTATACAATTCTGTAAGACTATAATACTGATCAGGCATCATTTTAAAATTGTGAAATAATTCCACAATTCTACGTTAGTAAATTAAATTGTGATCACTGTTAAGTAAAACAAAAAAGTGGAAAGCAAATTCTTTTTATAATAGGCATGTTTAGACTGCCATAGTCAATAAAAACCACACTGAAAAAACAAGAGTATCGTGAACCAACTGATATTTAGTAAATATTTCAACAGCTGGGATATTCAAGACAGTATATTTAGCTTAAAACAGTCCGTGCTACTAAGATAAAAGTTATTTTAAAGTAGGAATTCCCTGTCCCTTTTCTTTATGAACATAAAATCTGTTGAATGTGAAGAACATAAGAATATATTTTTAAAAAGTAGCTGATCAATAAATAGTCCAACCCAAATTAAATACGTCAACTCAAATTTAATTTACCTACAAAATTCTTAAAGGATTCAAAGGAAAGAAATAATTAGATGACAATGCTTACATGCTCACAGTAAGCAGAATGATTTAAATAAACAAACACATTTTAAAAGATTAAGGACCTCTTTGTGGTCACCTTTGTTACCTGGGTACTCTGATACATTCCTCTGATCCTAATAGGCCAAGTTGTCCATCAGAATCGAGACCCCAAGCATACACCTGGCCCTTGTCATTAAGTGCTAAAGTATGAGCTTCTCCACACGAAACAGCTACGATATTTTGAGCATCCAGGGCAACAACCTGCTCTACAGAACAGAAGTCAAGAAGAGAGACGTTACATTCTAATTTTGAACTTCCAATGATAATATATTCAATCTTCATTTTACATTTAAGAAAAGCTAAGGTAATGTTTAAATACACACTAAAAATAATCAGTTATTTTGAAAAATCTAACAAATTCATGCTCCATGTGTAATAATTGTTGTGGTAAAATACAGATAATTTTCTGAGTGGATATATAATGTCAAGAAGAGTTCATAAAGATTCTCTCATAATGTACACTCTATTCAAAACCATTATCAATAAAAGAAGGGTCCAGGTAAAAAAAATAGAATCATTTAAACAACTTGGCTGTTTGATTTTAACAATAAAACCATAATTGACCCACACATACCATACAGACACTGCAGTGAAGTGATTCTGAAATTAATGTTTTATGAATTGGTAATTTTTGAATGAAAAATAACTTCTTTACATATCTCATTTAAAAAAAAAAAAAGAATCTGTTGGATATGCTGAGTAAAGAACAGAAAGGCAACATGACCATAACTGATAGGTTCTTTTGTGGACTGCCATTTTAACATCAACAAATATGAAACTCCATATGTGGTTAAAATGTGTTCAAGTTTTAAGCCAGAAATTCATTTAAAATATTGGACTTCAACAGACTGTAAAGGAGCCAACCACTGACATTATCAGTATGGAAATTGTTTCTCTAGTCTCCTTAGTTTCCTTGAGATGTGCAATGTTTGTGAGTGTTTCACTAGTACCATTAAAAACTTGGGGTTTTTAAAAATACCATTTAAATTAATATTTTTTAGTTTAGTAAGAAATTTATAATTACTGACTTCAGTAAACTAAAAGCCTAGTGTCAAAAGTGATTAAAACTGGATCAATTAGGGTTTCTTGGCACATTTTAGCTCCATTTACAAATGTAGCAATTCAATAATAGAAAAAAATGCAACAGGAGGTTCACATTCTTTCATGCAGAGAAATTCAAATTGTTTCTAGATTATTAAAATTTTCATTTTTGTAGTGAGAGGTTAGCCCTAGATATCTCCTCTAAGAAACTGCACAACTCTATAATGATTTATTATTGTAGTTACTTACCTTAAAGTATTGAGTTAATAACTGAAAGCTTACACTTAATCTCATTTTTGTATGTAATCTAAATGGTTTTATAAAATTACATTGTAGAAACACAAAAAAGGAAAAAAAGATATAAAACACCGTTTTCCCTACCACCACCACCACAAAAAAAAAAAAAAATGAAGAAAGTAAAAGGACTTGGATCTGCTTCCATCAAAACGCTCCTACAAATCTAATTATGAATAAAAAAGTGAAACTTAGAAAAGATCTTATGTCTCACAAAGGCTCCCAAAATAAATCAATTTCTCTCCAGAACAACCCTAAAAGGAAGTAGCAAAAAAAAAAAAGACAGGTAAGACTAATGTTCATCAATAACAAAGTAAGAGTACTTAAATTAGATAGCAATGGCTATAAAATCAAAGTCCAGGAAACAAAGAACAATCATTTATATCAAATATTAACATTGTTATTAACATTGTTTTATACTTTGAGTGCTTCAGACACTAGATACACAAAAATGAATAAAACAGTTCTGATCCTCAAGGAGGTTTACAATTTGTGCATAAACAGGTGAAATAAGGATGTAATTAATGATAAGATAGAAAAAAGACAATAGAAACAACAGATACTTATGTTATCCTTAAAAACATTAGGAAGACTTTGGGAAGGCAATAATTCTTAAGCTAGATCATTAGCTGAAGAGAAGAGATTCCCATGTATCCAATTTGAGGGAATTAAAATTACTTGTTATAGCAAATCAAAATATAAAAGCAAAGTTGAGAACCAGATTAAAAAAATGAGGGGAAAAATGTTCCTCATCTGGGCAAAACTAACCTCCACAATTTTTAAAGACTTCTAAGAGGCAAAAAAAAAAAAAAAAGATTCATAATTTACATCAGTGGGTAAAAGATGTGAACTGAATGAAAGTTCACAGAAAAATAGAAACAGCACTTAATCATATCAAAGTTGTTCAACTTCACTAATGAAAGAAATATACATTCAAACTACACTGAAAAGCCAAAAATATACTTTTCTAAATATAACCATCAATAAAGTTTTATCAACAGAATGAGGTAAGTCCCAGAGCAGAGGAAAATATTTACAAAGACAGTTGATAAAGGATTTATCCAAAACATACACAGAATTTTTGAAATTCAACAGTTAAGAATACAAACCAACTCAATTACAAAATAGCAAAAGATTCAGACAGGTATCTATCTCACCAAGGAAGATGTACAGATGGCAAGTAGGCATAAGATCAGATGGCACAATACTGGATGCCATCTGGGCATTGCAAATTAAAACAAGATACAAATTACACACCTATTAGAATGGCCAAAATCTATAACACTGACAACACCAAATGCTGGCAAGGATATGAAACAACTTGAGTTCTCTCATTGGTGGGGGCCAATCTCAACAATTTAGTGAGACCCTTAGCAACTAGGCAAGCTCTTGTCTCAATATAAGAAATAAAAAGGGTTGGGGATATAGCTCAGTGTAATTGGAAGATAATTTGGAGGATTCTTACAAACTATAATCAAATACATGATCCTGTATTCCAACAATCGCATTCCTTGGTACTTAACTATGTCCACACATGGATGTTTATAACAGCTTTAATCATAATTTCTGAGACTTGGAAGCATACAAGCACAACCTTCACTAGTTAAATGGATAACAAAATTGGTACAGCCTGAAAATAGAATATTATTCAATGCTAAAAACGAATGGGCTATCAAGCCACAAAAAGACATGTAAGAAACTTAAAATACATATTGCTAAGTGAAAGAAACTAATCTGAAAAGACCACATACTATGAGATTCCAAATAGATGACATTCTGGAAAAGGCAAAACTATGGAGACAGTAAAAAGACTGACTGCCAAAGTTTGAGCAAGGAAGGGATGAACAGGTAGAGCCATGAGTATTTTTAGGGCAGTCAAAACTATTCCTCATGATACTGCAATGGTGGAAACACACCATTATATGCTTGTTAAAACCCTTAGAATAAGTCATACGAAGAGTAAACTAGAGGTAAACTATGGAATTTAGTGATAACAACATGTTGATGTAGATTTATTGATTTTAACAAATGCACATTGTGATGCACAATATCAATGGTGAAGAGGTAATCCATGTATGGGTTTGGGCATAGGGGTATTGAGAACATTCAATGTTGCTGTGAACCTAAAATTGCTATAAAATAAGCTTATTTAAAAAAAAAAGAAAAGAAAAAAAAAGAACCACATACCTAGGTACCAGTTTTCATTTCTGGAAAAGGCACAGTTGTATACTGTTAGTGGAAGTACAAAATAGAACAACTTCTATGGAGAAAACAGCCATGGCATTATCTAACAAAACAGGAGTTTTCCCTTTCCACCTACCAATTCCATGTTCAGGAATTTATCCTACAGATACACTGAACATGAGTGTGTGCGAATACATGTGAATACACTGCCTATTCAAAACAATTTAATTTGCAACACTACATAAGAGTAAAAGCCTAAAAATTTTCTAAATATCCGTAAAAGGATTCCATGTACACATTGAATAGTATACTGGTAGGGTATACTAAAGTAATGCAAACTTTACTTTGCATTCTGATATGGAAGAATACACAATTTGCTTTTTTTTTTTTTTTGTATAAGGTAAGGGGGAATAAGAATATATATTTGCTAATGTCTACATGAAGAAACTTTGGAAAGATAAATTAAAAATTTAACAAAGACAGTTCTATAGAGGATACAGGCAGAGGGGAAATTTTAACAGTCAAATGCAAAAGCTTCTCGATATATATTGCTTTGATCTGAACCTGTGAATATACTGCCTATTCAAAACAATTTAATTTTAAAAACATTCATTTGGGCTATGGGTATAAACTCAGTGGTAGAGCACTTCCATAGCATGTGTGAGGCTCTAGTTTTGAGCTCTAACACTCAAAAATTAAATTAAAATTTTAAAATACTTTTTAAAATTAGAGCCTTAGAGAAATACTTAAAACAATGTATTAAAAATCAATATTTCTGGGGCTGGGGAAGTGGCTCCAGCGGTAGCGCGCTCGCCTGGCATGCGTGCGGCCTGGGTTCGATCCTCAGCACCACATACAAACAAAGATGTTGTGTCCGCCGAAAACTGAAAAATAAATATTAAAAATTCTCTCTCTCTTTCTCTCTCTCTCTAAAAAAAAAAAAAAAAAAAAAAAAAAAAATCAATATTTCCACTTTTGAACTGTTCTGAGCTCAGTATCCTTTTCTGCATACTAAAAAAGCCTAAACAATTTTTGTTCTTCCAGAATTCTAGCCCCATTAAATTACTGATACCAACTTTGAAAACAGATAACTGCTTCAGAAATTCAAAAACTAGGAAAAGAAATAAGATTAGAAGAATTAAAAGGTATCCATATTGGAAAGGAAGAAGTTAAACATCTTTATTTGCAGATGATTTGATTCTACATATAGAAACCCCCCCAAAATCATACAAACAAAACAAAACAAAACAAAAAACCCAAAACCCCCATTAAGACATAATAAATGATCCAGTCCAGTTGAAGGATACAAAAATCAGCACCATTTCTATACAAAAATAATGACCTAAGCCAGGCTCAGTGGTACATGCCTGCAATCCCAGCAACTTGGAAGACAAAGGCAGAAGTATCACAAGTTTGAGGCCAGCCCTAGCAACTTAGTGAGGCCCTAGGCAATTTATCAAGCACCTATCTCAAAATAAAAAGGGCTGGAAAAGTAGTTTAGTAAGCGAAGCACACCTGGGTTCAATCCCTCGTACTAAAAAAAAATTTTTTAAATGATAATGACCTAGCTGAATAATGAAGACAGGCATGGTGGTGCATGCCTATAATTCCAGCAACTTGGGAGGCTAAGGCAGGAGGATCACAAGTTCAAACCAGGCTCAGCAACTTAGCAGAGCCCTGTCTCAAA